TTCATTTGTGATCTCTTTTCACTGTACGTTGCACTGAAGAGGATAAATTGATAATAATTAACTGAACGGTGGATATCATCCTTTTATTAATTAATTATTTATACTTCTTTTATTTACATATTGTTCTTCTCTATACGCAGTACAATTATAACTGAAGGTTTATTTTTTTTATTTCTATTTTCTTCACTATCCGCTATCTAAACTTTATGTGTACGTTTTAATAATGATCTCTATTCCACATATGTACTACCCTGTTGTTTTACTTCTTCTTATTTCCTTCCTGTCAATTGAAGAACCATATGGACCGATAGTAAAGATGCCAAGGATGGCGTATATGATAGGTCTGCATTTCTATTCTAACAGTGATATGGCTGTTGGTGAAGGGCATGAATAGTGAAAAGAGGGAAACACTGATACTGCAACTCTTTAAATGTCTACGTAGTGGATAAAAGAAAATGAAAAAGAAGAAATGAAAGTTAATGGTGTTGCAATTACTTTGTTACGACTAAGCTCTTAATGGGAAGTACTGTGCGTGTATATGAGTTATGCCCCAAGTCGGTAGTAATGTAGTTAGTTAGTGAAGCCACTTGCTTTCTATCACTGTATGGCACTAACTGCAGTACTGCTGTCCCACTAACAATCCCCAAACAAGAGTTCCCCACCATGGAGTGAAAAGAAGATAATGATGTGTTTATAGGTAACACCAATAGGTATCGTTAGCAATATTGTTATTCTCTCTTTATCTAATCTTTCATAACGGAAAATACCTTTCTTTATATGTCTAAGGTTCTTACACGATGAAACTTCAAGTAACTATTTGTATTTGATTCTTTGCTACACTGTACGATATAGTGTTAGAACCAGATAAAAAAACAAATAGACAAAAATGATCAAATCTGTTTTTTATTAATCATTACAGTGCATATGTATTTGAATTTTAATAGTAAACTTTCTTGTTTATATTTGCCATTCTAAGAACTATATTATTAATGATAAACTGTTGCTCTCTCTGTTTCTTCTCTTTCATAACATGACGCATCATAAATGAAAGAACACAGCAACACAATCACTATGCGCACAACTCTATTATTAACATTGCTACTGATACTCTCCTGCATCTGTACATGTGCAGCAGCAGAGAGGAT